ATGCTTTTAAAAAAATTTATAATATTTTAAAATAATCTCAAAAATTAAAAAAAAATTGTTTTAAGCTTAATCTTTTTAACAGATTTTAACGCAGTTTTCAACAGTCCAGTTGACAGTACACATGTCAAGCCTGCTATGTATGTACATACGCATCAAATTTTGTTCATTTTGTTTTGAAGCAACCACGTGTGAACAGGTTGCAATACGCATTCGATAAAATCTCAATCTTGTTGCGGAGCAACTTCTTAAATTTATTCAATAATCATCACTATGACTCCAATGTTTTACGCATTTATTTAGAGACATTATAATTATAAATAACAAACAGCTGTTTTCCAAATGTTGAATGAACAGTTACTTTTATTCTAAACGCACTGTCATTGTTGCAAGTCAGCTGACCGCCCAGCTGTTGCAAATGCATTTTCGAATTTTAGATTCATTTGTATGATCTTAGCATTTTATTTACACGCTTGTAAGTCAATTACAATGCACATTCGAATCTCATTTACACGCTATAGTCACTCACTAGCTGGGATGACGGCACATGCGCATTTACAGTGGCCACCGGATGTGCACCCCGATAAAAAAGCGAAAGAAAACAACAATGAAACAAAAAGTGTTGTCGTAATTACGCTTATAGTAAAACGTATTACATACGAGTTATATCTATGTGTGTAGGTATATACTATATATTCACAAGTTGTATAGCTTTTTTTTACAAAAAATACGACGGCAGGTATTCTCGTTGAGCAAAAGAAGCAAAAATTACGACTGCCAGCGAACGACTGACTGACAAAAATCAAATAAAACTCAACTTAGGTCAATTTAAAACTGAATATAAACAAGTTATTCTTGTTTTTGTTTGAGCTTTTAATTTTGCTTAGGATAAAAATTGTAAAATCAAACCGTAGTTGAATATTTAGCAACTTACCATAATCTACATACATATATAGTACATATGTATTTAGAATATTTATACATACATATATTGCTAAGCATAGTTCTAATCTACATAAGTCGGGTTTGTATTTGTATAAGCAGGAAGCAGATGTACAGGTTATATTATTTGAAAACAAAACCAGCTGTTTGTAGCGTTACTCATCAGTGCTCAGAGCGAGCGAACAGTAGAAGAGGCGAAGATGATGTGTTGGTATGATTAGAATACTTTTCTAATATGCTTAATTACTAGTATTAGGTAATAAGTTATTTCTTCATTCCTTCAGGGTTTAATATTGTATATAAAGGTTCTTCAATGATAGTCACTTCAAAGCCCAGTTTTATAAAACACACAACCTTACGAGTGATATAAAGCCTCCAAAGACGACCGAGAGATCGTTGAAGGCATGTCTCATTCTGGATGCCCGTCGACTTTTTCAACTGATACTAATACCTAAAACGTGAAGGACGGGGTGCTTCAAAATCGTCAGGCAAGTATTAGAGAGAAGGCAAGAGAAATCGATATCTCTTGCTAGTCCGTTCGAATGATTGATGAAAAAACTAGCCGAAACCAAAAAAACCACGCCAAATCCGCTTAAAAATCCAGGTTTTTGCATCATGAATTTGTTTCGGAGGGGCAGACGGTCAATAAGGAGTTCTACTTAGCGTCGAATCGAATTTAAACCCAATGAATAACATCGATCAACCGTCATATTCACCAGATTTTGACTCTGTGTGTTTTTTCTTGTACCCCAAACCGAAATTACCGCTCCGTGGAACCCGTTATCAGTCATCAGTCAATCGAAGAGATGAAAGGCCATCCTAAAGAGTGCTTATGAAAAGTGTTTCAAGGACTGGAAAAATCGTATAAGTGTTCTACATCTCGCCATTGAAGACAAGAAAATAAATATTGATGAATAATTAAATAATTTGCGTTTTATTTACAATTTCCGAGTTCTTTTCCGTCACAATGTAAATAATCGCCAAAGCCAAAATTTCATTCAATTTTATTCAAAATAAAAGTTCTTTAGCTTTAGCACCCTATATGCATTGTAAATATAAATTATATTTGGAGTACTACGCACAAAAAAAAAAAAAATAAAAACAAATAACAAAATAAACTTATAAATGTTTACTATAATAGCAAAAACACCGTTAAAACAGAATTATGCTATGAACAAAGTCCAAATGGCGAGTTGAAGGTCGCTAAGAATGATGAACTCGAAATTTGTTACTATTAACACTGGCTAACTGGAATTTTAATGAAATTAGTAAAATAAAAACAAAATAATAGGCAAGCATTAGCAGTGCAAAAAGACAACATTTTAAAGCAAAAAAAAGAAATGAAAGATTTTTATTTGCGTACAAAGGCAGTACTTATGTATGTACATATATAGACTGTATGAAAAAAGTATAGTATTTTCCATATACTTACTTATAAATGAATTTAAAAAACAAATGACAAGAAGTTTGATGCCTACAGAAAAAAGACAAAATACTACGAGCTAACAAGTTGCTTTCAGAGGCGTCTTAGTAGTTTTAAAGGGGCGCACACACTAACACTGGTTGTTAACGTAATTTATGCGCTAATTAAGTAATTTAAAAAGGTAATTGATTAACTGGCATTTAATTTATGTCTGCAACACAAAGACAAAACAAATGCAAAGCGAAAACAGAGATAAATTTCATTAACTGTAATTTTATCTGAAATAAGCAACAAAACGTCACAAAAGATGGAGTCTTTTTAGGATTAAAATTCAAACAAAATTGTCAATCATATTTAAGTAAAAAAGTGACTATATAATATTAATGATGAAATTAATACAAACAAGGAAGGGGTGAGCCTGCTTTAGAGTCTTCAAAAAATCAATTTTTTTGAGAATTTTTTTGGGATGGAAAGAAATAAGTGATTAAAGCGAAATTTCTAGGGCTTATAATTATATATTTAAACATCATTTATAAATTTTTTGGTTACGAAATTTTTGATATTCTGCCTTTAGGAAGCAATTGCCCGCATGTGCATTTGTCGAACGGTGGGCAGGATGCAGGTCGCAATTTCTATCGAAAACAAAAAATTTAAAGAGATTCACATTTCTTAATAATTTATCATCTAGTTTAACTAAAAAAATTATAAAAAAAAGTGTAAAATTTTAGAAATTTTTTAAAAATTGAAAAAAAGTGGTTTTTGACCAAAAAAAATTTACTTTATGTTGTTTAAAAATATGTTCAAACTTGACTTTTATTAGTTTTTTAGTTTAAATAGAAGATAATTTAATGCCAAAGATGGTAAACTTTGCCCCAATTCCATACGACATTTAGTTTTTTTTTATCCTGCCCGCCAATTAAGCAAAATCGTAAAAATGAACAACCGAGAATCGCGCGTCAAAGTCTTCACTTTCTGCCCAATCGCTCATACATATGTACATATATCCGCTAGACGCTCGGTCACTATTTCCCTTCTAGCTTCGAAAATATTTCGCATTCCCATCTAAAACTTTGGGGACATATTCTTAGATTATTTGTAAAGAGATTTAAGCAAAACAAAAAAAAAATCGATTTTTTGAAGCTTCTAAAGCAGGCTCCCTCTTTAATTCAAAAGCAAAAACCCCTAAGAGCATTATTTCAGTACTTTAGAACTCTGGAAACCACAATTATCTCAGCTTCACGTTCGTTAGTGTGTGCAGTTTCGACGCCTACTGTGTACACATGCTCACCTTTGACAAGATAAAATGCATGCGGAATGGGAAAAGAACATTTATTTACTCTTCTTCGTGTTTCATCAATGTGGAATTGAATAGAGTCACGTTTTTTTAATTGTGAAGAATGTGTGCTTTGCTCAGTAAGCCTCACAGGTTAGCGATTAATTTGCAAGTGTTTATAGTAATTAATATAAGTGATAAGTATATAGATACCTATTATTATATGTCAATGTATGTATGTACAAAAACACCATATATATTGTACAATAAATGGACTATTGTAAGAACCCCCTAACTTTACATGGGAACACACGCAAATGTTCATTTGTATGGAAAATAGAAAAAGGAAACGTTTTTGACGCTATTGGTAAATAATTAGTAGTGAAACCAAAAAAACAATAAAATAAAATTCGCCAAAGGCACTAAAAGCCATCACAGTCGATGCTTATACCAAGTTAAGGCGACAATAAAGTTTTGTATTCAAATACGTGAAAATGTATTTTGCTGTCAGTCCGAGTCAATTTTGATCGAATGTTATGTCAGTTTCAACACATAAAATAGACCTTTACCTTCTTATTATAATTATTATTTCTTAAAATATGTCATTGTAAGTTGTAAATAACGGAATGAGATTGTATTAAACACCTAAATTTATTATGTAGGCTTAGTCTCTTCGTATTTGTATGGCAACAATCCGTCACTTCCACCACTACCATTATCGTACAAACATGGTTATATTTTATTAAGTTATTTGCATTTAATAAAAAACATTCATAAACTATTATTATTATTAATATTATTTTCTTGTTTACTCTTTATAGAAAGGTGTCTATATTTGTACATATATACATATGTGTTCAATGATATTGATAACAAAGTCAAGAGTTTATAGTAAGTGAAAGCACTTATGTACCTAAGTGCAGAATTTTTATTATTAACGTCTAAATAAAATATTTCGATTAAGTGCCCTCCCAAAAGTGAGGGAGCTCCTAAAATCACCTAAATACTTTCGAACTTTATATCTATGAATCTGACCCACATAATTTATATTAAAAACTACTGACTTAAGTTCTTTTATTTTCGCTTTTTTTTTTTTTGTTTTTTGCTCATAAAAATAAGAGGTCTACGCAATTCGCAATAAGAGGCACGTTTCCGTTGTTATCAGCAATAAGTATCTAAAAGTAACTACATACATAGTTGCAGTAGTAGCATAAGTATGTTTTGTCATTATTAAGGTATGTATGTGCATATGTGTAGGCAAATGCAAATACGCATGAGGTGTTCAGCTTCAATTTCAATGTGCGATAAGAGCAAGAAGTGCTTATCAAGCATATTTGTATTTGAATAAAAATTACAGTACTGCGCAGCGAATTGGAAATGTAAACAAACTTGCTGAAAGAATATTTGCGTTTAGTGAAGATATATTTTATGTAATAAAAAAGTTCTAGCCAGATCATGAGATAATTGCAGGTACTATAAGCCCTAATTCCACATGCTTCATTAGTCAGTTAGAAAAAAGAGATGCTAAAAATTTTAGAATATTTTTATTATATATTTGAACGCATTAGATCACAAATTCGATTAACCAAAAACTTGAAAAGTGCCTAAACGAAAAAGCAATTCGTATAAAAGCAATAAATTGCCATACTCCAAGCTACAAAAATCTGAATAACTTATAATTATTTATTACGATTTATAACAAATTCAACATGAAAACTTATGAAATTTGTGATATACTTATACATATTTACATATTTTATAATAGAAAGAAAGAGAGAGCGAAAGAGTAACTCATAGAAAAATGCGTATGTCACGCCACTTGTATTTACCGCAACGCTGTACTTTACATCACTGTAAGTGGCTGAGTCAAAATGTGATATAATATGTATGTATGCTAATTATGTTKTTATATTCATTTGACAGAAATGTTTATTTTCTTTTCTAGCAGCGAATGTAAATAGAGTGATAAGAAAATTAAAAATATATAAAATTTCAACATATATACATAGTACATTTGTTGAGCTTTCTTTACAGCAATTCAGTTGCGAAGGAATAAAAAATATATGTATATGAATGTTTATAGGTGTGCAAGCTGACTGTATTACATAGCTTTTTAAATCCTTGAGGAAAATTTAAAAATTATGTAAATAAATTAGTGCTTAAACTTGTATTTACTCGGGTAAAAAACAGCTTTTATTCAAAATTTTTACATGTAAAAAAATTAATATTTTATTAAGTAGAATTTTTTAATTGTTACAAACATACACTATTAACAAGTATATTCTGAAATTTTTGGAAAAAAAAAAATATTTTAAACTCGGCCGTTGGGATGCCATTTCCGGTGACACCATGGAAAAAAGATGCACCCAATTTGGTAGGATAACTCCTTACATTGTAATCGAAAAAAAATTCTTCGTCCAAGTCTTTAGGAATTTTATCTCAATGAATTTCATGAAGATCGGTTGAGTAGTTCTTGAGAAATCTTGCCAACCGATTTCAAAAGCGCAGTTTCGAGAAAAATGCTTTTATAGACGGAGCACTTAGCCTAGCTAGCCTCAAGCGCACAAGTTCTCAAGACTGTATCTCGGAAACTATGAATCGGATCAACTTCAAAATTTAGAACAATATTCGAGAGGTGTCTTTGAAACTTAAGGAAACCCCTTAAGGAAACTCGGTTAATTTTTGTGACTTTGGAAAATCAAAAGGAGTTTTATAAAAAAAATATTTCAAAACACCAGCGAAAGAACCGAATGATATACAAATCAGATTGGAGATACATATAATGAGATAGAAAGCGACATTAAAAAGTAAAGATGAAGCCTCGGAGAAATAAAATAAAAGAAGCCTGTGTTCCACAACCTCCTTATTAGAAATTCTTCAAATCCGATAAGAGACAAAACAAGTTTATTATATCTTTACCCTGAACAGGGTACCATTAGGTTATATTAAGTTTGTTACGAAGTTTGTAGTAACCAGAAGGAAAATTCGAACGTATATTGACTTGACATTTTGCACACATCCTTTTCTTTAATTCTATCAAACGCTATAATCTCTGAAGAAATTGTTCAGATCGGATCACAATAGCACATAGTGGCCATACAACCCAAACGATCAAAATCGATAAAAATATCTCTTTATACCTTTTTAAGCTATAAAATTCAACTGTGAAGATTATATAGCTTTGTTGTAACCGAAATTACCGAGTTTTCTTGTTTTCATTACAGGTTGTAAAATAGAAAAGCTGCCATTGTTTACCGTTTGTTTATCATTGAACGATACGTCATGGCAAAAACAAAGTTGACAGCGCATTATCGAATATTTTCTTGGTATTTTTTATTTTACAACTAAAGTAAATAGTTTTTATACAATGCTTATACCATGTACAATATAATATATACTATGTATAAAACATAGCTATGTATCTGTGTATTTGGAATTTTCATTGAAGACAGTGGCGGATAAACGAACTCAAATTGGCGAGCAGACAAATTCGTTAGGAATTTTTTAAAAATATCCAAATGACGTGTGCTCGCTCTGTTTACGTAATATTTAGGTAAATACAATTCTGCTATGTTACATACATATGTAACTTACCTAACTAAATATACTTTATATATGGGAAGGGTATATACATATGTAAATGCAATCGTTTATGTAATTCTAACCTCAAGAAAAATTTACTTTAGTAGCTGATTTTCTTGGCACCGTGTGAAATCATCACAATTGAGCAGGAGCCAATAACATCTGTTGTGCTGCTAGTAATTAGGTGAATCGTCGCGCTACACCTCATTGCATCTTAGAAAGGTGATGAGCATGTACTTAGTCGTATACACATCCACACATGCATGTATGCATGTAGTCATAGACAAGTCAAGTGATAAATATGTTTGTTGTGTGAGGATGAACGATAAAACACTACGCTTGCATAATTAACTGCAAATTGACTGTTTGCGGCAATTAAATTTCGGTGCCAAACAACTACACATACTTGCATATAAATATGTAGTATGTATATACGGGAAATACAAATTTATACAGCGCATGTGTTAGGCTAAATATAAGGCATATCTCCATATTTTCCTGATTAGTTGTGTAATAAGTAGCAACGGTAAACTATTTCTAGAGGTGTGAGAATTATATTAAATATGTGAGAGTGCACACACATTTTACAAGTAATCTGTGACTTTCATTACAATGCCCTTGTCAGTATATATAGAATGTGGAGTATATAAAAAAAAATACATAAATACATATTTTCGAACACATAACATAAGCTGGTGGGTGGTTCGTAAAAATATTGAATTGTCGATTTTTCCGAAGGTATATGAAAAAAGTCTATGTATGTATATACTTCACAGCAGCTGTGCCTAATATATACATATGTATGTAACTATATCCACCCCTCCTCACCCAACATACACCACCCTTATTCTTAATCCCTACAATATTTAGTCATGTTTCCAGTAAGCTGCCTAAAACTGTATGTACGCAATTGAATAAAGTTTTATATCGTCAATTCAATAAATACTTAATTCATTGCGTATAAATTAAAATCTATTTTGACGAACACTGACTAGTTGTTAGCGGCAAAAGTCGATTAAAAATAGTATATACCATATGTACATACTATATACCAATATATGTACATATAATATAATTCTATAGAGTGTGTAGTTAGCATTTGATGACTTGAATTTTATGAATATTATAATAAAAGGAAGAACCTTATGCACACGTAATTTTTTCTCCAAGAAAATATTTTTTGTCGGAATAGGAATATGGCACTACCACATATTAGCTACCATACAAACTGAACGATGCAATTTGGTATGCGTTAGTGTCTAAAGCAACGGTATAATCTGTGAACAAATTATTCAGATCGGATCAAATAACAATACTGCCCGATCAAAATACAATTTTTGTATGGAAAAATTTTGTATTTGACAAGGTGTCTTTACGAAATTTGGCATGGATTATTGATCAAGGCAACGTTACCATCTTCGAAGATATTGTTTTAAATCTATGGATTATACCAAACAGCTGCCATAGAAACTGACAGATCCAAGGCAACATAAAGATCCATTTATACTCTTTTCGGCTATAAGAAATGCATAAGTGAAGAGTATTATAGCTTCGATCAGCTGAAGTTAATATTTTCTTTTTAATTTTATAATAATTCACAGGTACATATTTGTATTATAAATATGGACATTGTATAAATCCGTGCTCTTTTATTTAATATATCGCAACTCTGATGTATTTTACGAGCTTACGATATTTAAGAGAGAAAAAATTCCAAACATTTAACCCATTTAAACAAAGTCGTTGTTTCTTTTGGCTGGAAATTTTAACTATAGCCACATTAAATACTTATATGATACACATACATACGTATACATGCATGTACGACTATATATAAATTAATGTAAGTAATCGCGCTGTCGGCATCGAAATGTGTCAGACGACAGTAAATTGATATAAATATGCGAAACGTGCATATGCATACATATGTACATATATTTCTTTTCAAGAGGCACGGCGCAAAGGAAAAGTACATACATACATACATAGCGTATACATTTGTACATAGTATATTCGCCATATGGGTATGATAATATTTTGAAAAGAAGGCAAAAGAAGGCGACAGTGTACATTTTAGAAACGCATCAGCCGATTTTGTTATTAAAATGCATTACGAAAGAATATATACATATATGTATATACTGTACATATACAGTTGCTGCTGATTTCCGGTTTTGGAGATATTTGTATTTAATGTTTAAAATTGGTATATTTAAAGTGATTTATAACGAAGTTTGCATTTACATTTTCAGCTTTCATATCCCCTAACACTTGCGTTGGCCGCCGCATTTCAAAAAAAATAACCCTGGGGACCAAAACCGAGATATTAAAATGCCCTTAACAGTCCAACACCGGGAGGTATTCAGTTCTTTTGCATAGAACTTCTTTACAAAAAATTACCTTCATCGGTCTAACACCTATATTCGGATCTTTCGCGTAGAACTTCTTTTTGCGTTGGCAGCCTCCGACCACCTTTCACAAAAATAACACTGCCCGGCCCAAACCGGTGTGTATTCGGTTCTTTCGCGTAGAGCCTCAAAAAAATAACTCTAGTCGGACCAACACCGGGTGTATTCAGTTTTTTCGTAGAACTTCTTTTCAAAAATTAAAAATGACACTTGCCAGACCAAAACCGGGGGGTTCTTTTCAAAAAATAACCATGGTTTCAGTTTTTTCGCGTACGACGGCTTGCTTTAAATACAAATATCACCAAAATCGTAAGTCAGCGGGAACATATGTACATATGTACATATACATAATAAGTATATTCTCTTAATCTGGAGGATCTCCTCTATCCGTACATACCCATGTTAAATCCGAAATCGGGAGATGCTATGCTAAAATCCAGCCAAAAAACGTTCTACAATTATACATACATACATTTATATAAACTTTTTTGAAAGCAGTCTATCTAAATATATATGAAAATATAGATATACATGTGTGTGAAATATATCCAATAGATGTGAATAACTCATTTGAGATACATTTTGTTTATTATACATATTATTTACTGAAAATGCCGGTGTAAATAATTACAACCAAGTATCTAACGGTAGCTACATACATACATTAACATAAGTATATGAACGCACAAAATTCTAGCCAACAGCCAACAAGGCACATGCAAGTACACTGGGCAGACGGACAGCTTTCAAATCTAGATAGACACACATTCATCTGCAACTAAATGTGCACATTCGATAGTGTATGA